TGTATTTACAGATTTAAATGAAGGACAGGGGCCTCAGTTTGGAAAAAGGACAAATGAGTCATTTGTTACATGTGAGTTTACAGAGGAAGAGGTTCTGTTTCAACTGTCAAACGTAAAGACAAATAAGTCAATGGGTCCTGATGGAATACACCCAAAGTTATTAAAAGAGCTTAGTGCTGTACTAGCAAATCCATTAACAGATTTATTTAACCAACCATTGTTAATAGGAGTAGTCCCAGCGAATGTTGTGCCCATTCACAAGAAAGGTAATAGGGAGGAGTCGGGCAACTATAGGCCAGTAAGCCTTACTTCAGTAGTGGGGAAAGTGATGGAAACCATGTTAAAGGATCGGATTGTTGAACATCTAAAAACACATGGATTTCAATATCAGAGACAACATGAGTTTACTTCAGGGAGATCATGCCAAACAAATCTTATTGATTTTTCTGATTGGGTAACTAAAATAATAGATCAGGGTGGTGCAGTAGACATTGCTTACCTAGATTTCAGTAAGGCTTTCGACACTGTTGCACATAGAAGGCTTATCAATAAACAGCAATCTTTAAGTTTGGATTCCAATATTGTTGAATGGGTAAGACAGTGGCTGAGTAACAGGCAACAGAGGGTTGTAGTCAATTGAGTATATTCGAAGCATGGGCTTGTCACCAGTGGGGTACCTCAGGGATCTGTACTTGGACCTATTCTATTTAATATTTATATTAGTGATATCACAGAAAGTCTTGATGGTAAGGTATGTATTTTTGCTGATGATACTAAGACATGTAACAGGGTTGATGTTCCAGGAGGGATAAGCCAAATGGCAAATTATTTAGGTAAACTAGAAAAATGGTCAGAATTGTGGCAACTGACATTTAATGTGGATAAGTGCAAGAAAACACATCTTGGACGTAACAACACAAGGGCAGAGTACAGAATATTTGACATCTGAGGAAAAGGATTGAGAGGTAATTATTTCAGATGACTTAAAGGTAGGCAGACAATGTAATAGAGCAGCAGGAAATGCTAGCAGAATGCTTGGTTGTATAAGGAGAGGTATTAGCAGTAGAAAGAGGGAAGTGCTCATGCCATTGTACAGAATACTGGTGAGACCTCACTTGGAGTATTGTACGCAGTACTGGAGACCGTATCTCCAGAAGGATATTGATACTTTAGAGAGAGATCAGAGAAGGGCTACTAAACTGGTTCATGGATTGCAGGATAAAACTTACCAGGAAAGGTTAAAGGAACTTAACATGTATAGCTTAGAGGAAAGACGAGACAGGGGGGATATGACAGAAACATTTAAATATATAAAAGGGAATCAACACAGTAAAGGAGGAGACTATATTTAAAAGAAGAAAAACTACCACAACAAGAGGCCATAGTCTTAAATTAGAGGGGCAAAGGTTTAAAAATAATATCAGGCAGTATTACTTTACAGAGAGGGTAGTGGATGCATGGAATAGCTTTCCAGCTAAAGTGGTAGAGGTTAACACAGTAAAGGAGTTTAAGCATGCGTGGGATAGGCATAAGGCTATCCTAACTATAAGATAAGGCCAGGGACTAATGAAAGTATTTAGAAAATTGGGCAGACTAGATGGGCCGAATGGTTCTTATCTGCCGTCACAGATCATTTATTTAGCAAAATAAGAGTCTAAATCACATTGCAGAAATATTTTCTAAAGATATATCATTTGGTGCAAATTTATATTCTTTGTCATATTGCCTTTGTCATATACCAGCTTTGAACACCGTATCAGAGAGATTTAGGACTGCATTTCTTGTCAGATGTGCTTCTGGTTGTTTACATTATTTGGACAAGGTTTGGGGACGATAATTACCAATAGTGTCACAGTTTCTTCATGGTATTGAGGTTATATTTTTCAATCAACGTAGAGCAAGATAATGGAAGTGACAGGAGCTCCAGGTGATCATATACATCACTCAACCAGGTGAGGGGCTGCCCAGGACTGATGAATGCAAGACATATTTTTTAATTGAAATCTTTTTTTGCAGTACAATACTAGCATGTTTATGCTTTGCAAGAGGGTTATGGCACCTGTCGCCCTCTGTACATGTTTGATTGGGGTTGAATTAAAGAATTATAATTTGAAACAAACAATGTCACTTTAAGAAAACTGAATTTTACATTTTAGTGTCAAAATAATATACAGAACAAAATTTAAATGTGCAGTCTATACATTGATAAAATAAGAGACACTGACATTTTGGACATTATTACAATTTGTCTAGCAATATATAATAACGTCATGTTTGATACACAACTTGTGGACCAATTGTTGTTTAGGGTATAAACTGTTCCTCCTAAGCTAATTTGAGCAAGGCCTTCTTCACCTCTGGCCTCTGTCAATATTAGTTTGTGAGTCAATTACTTGTCAGATATCTGTATTCTGTTATTGTAAATTCTGTTATTGGAATACATTGGTGTGTGGTATAAAAAATAATAATAATAATAATATCAGTATATTATTATTATTATTGTGTTATTTATATAGCGCCATCAAATTCCGCAGCGCTTTACAATGTCTGGACGAACAGACATGTAGTTGTAACCAGACAAGTTGGACACACAGGAACAGAGGGGTTGAGGGCCCTGCTCAATGAGCTTACATGCTAGAGGGAGTGGGGTAAAATGACACAAAAAGGTATGGATAGTATTAGACTAGTGACAGTTGCAGAAGAGAAATCAGTTGGGAGCTATTAACAGTTCAATTGATACGGTTTTTATGAAGAAGTGGGTTTTTAATGATTTTTTGAAGGAGTGGAGACTGGGTGAGCATCTAACGGAGGAGGGAAGTGAGTACCACAGGAATGGTGCAGCCCTCGAGAAATCTTGAAGGCGAGCATCAAAGGTGGGAGTACGGACAGAAGATAGACGTAAGTCTTCAGCACACACACACACACTACAGACTCACAAGTACAGTTGTGCTCAAAAGTTTGCATACCCTCGGGGACTTGGTAATATGTATGTAACATTTTTAAAGAAAACATGAGTGAGCAGGCAAAACACATTTCTATCATTTCTTATGGGATTCATATTTAACTGTAGGTTATTACAGAATGGTACAATCATAAAATAAAACTTGGCAACAAAGAAAAATATGAAATGACCCCTGTTCAAAAGTCAGCATACCCTTAGTTCTTAAAACTGTATATTGCCACCTTTAGCATCAATGACAGCGTGCAGTCTTTTGTAATAGTTGTCTACGAGGCCGCTAATTCTTGTAGGTAGTATAGCTGCCCATTTGTCTTGGCAAAATGCATCCAGGTCATGCAATGTCTTTGGTTGCCATGCATGAATCGCACGTTTGAGATCCCCCCAGAGTGGCTCGATGATATTAAGTTCAGGAGACTGTGATGGCCAATTCAGAACCTTCACCTTTTTCTGCTGTAACCCCTGGAGGGTCAACTTGGCCTTGTGTTTAAGGTTCTTGTCATGCTGGAAAGTCCAACAGCGTCCCATGCGCAGTCTTCATGAAGAAGAATGCAAATTGTCAGACAGTATTTTCTGATAACATGCTGCATTCATCTTGCCATCAATTTTTACAAGATTCCCTGTTCTTTTAGAGCACACACCCCCCAAAAACATCAGTGAGCCACCACCATGGTTCACAGTGGGGATGAAACAGATATTAATTAACCCGGAGATAAGTTCAGGTGGAAACCAAATTGACACTTTTATTACGAGCTGCTCGGAGAAAGTAATCAGACCAGACAGTTTTTGATTCAATTTACTTTTTTTAAAAAAAATTTTTTTATTTACTTCCCTATTTTATTGTGTAAGCTTACAGACTATATACTACTTTGTAAAGACAGCTTTGTGACTTGCGCGCCAAAAACCGGATGGGTGAAGTCACACTTTACCATAAGAGGAAATTACAGAACTAAGCATATTTCAATGGTTATATATATATATATATATATATATATATAAACATTACAACATCAGCGGGGGGTTGAGGGTACAACCCAATTGTCTCCTCAGAAACCACAGAATGTCAGAAGTTATGATTTTATGCTTACTTGTGCTTATTTGTCAGACAGTCAAAACTAGACTAAAAGTTAAAAAGCATAACTTGAAAGTAAAAACAGACTGGACATCCGGTCATCTTAGTAGCTTGAGCCTGGGGTCAAGGTGCCTATCATTACAATTCCATTACAGTATTCTTTTCACTATAGCCCTTGTTGACCCCTCCCCAAACATAGCGCTAATGATTGTGACCATAAAGTTCTATTTTGGTCTTGTCACTCCAAATTACAGTGTGCCAGAAACTGTAAGGCAAGTCCGGGTGTTGTCGGGCAAATTGTAACCGGCCTTTTTGTGGCATTGTCGTAAAGGCTTCTTTCTGGCAATTTAACCATGCAGCTCATATTTGTCTTTTTCCAGATCAGTTTGTAGTTCTCCTGAGGTAACCTGTGGGTTCTTCTTTGTATTCTGAACATTTCTTCTGGCAGTTGTGGCTGAAATCTTTCTTGGTCTACCTGACCTTGGCTTGGTATCAAGAGTACTGACTAGCATTTTCAAAGCTTGGATATCTTTGTGTATCCTTTACCATCTTAATAAAGTTCCATGACCTTGTTACGCAGGTCTTTTTACAGTTCTTTTCTTCTCCCCAAGGCTCAGTATGTAGCCTGCTCAGTGCATCCATGTGACAGCTAAGAAACTCATTGACTATTTATACACAGAAACTAATTGCAATTTAAAAAGCCTTTAGTTACCATTGTAACCTGTGTGTGTCACCTTGTGTGTCTATAAAAAGGCCAACAATTTAAGGGTATGTAAATGTTTGACTTATCCGTCCCTTTCCTGGCAGCCTCTGCCTGCACACAATGCCTTTTTTGTCCCTTTCCGGGAAGGTTCTGCCTGCCTCTGTACTTTTTCCCCCTTTCTCTGGCAGGCTCTGTCTGTCCACTGGGCCTTATTTGTCCCTTTCCTGGCATGCTCTGTCTGCCCCATTACCTTATTACTACTCCTGCTGGTGCTCGCTTTGGCAGCACCTATCCTAAAATTGGAACAATACAGAAAAGATTAGCATGGCCCCTGTGCAAGAATGCCACACATAATTTGTGAAGCATTCCATCCGTTCTCCAAGTTTATACCTCTTTACAATCAATTCTACCTGCCTGAGCATGGGGACCAGATTTAAAGTCAGTATAATGATCCTGGAGGTTTTGTTTGAGTGGTAGGTGCTGCTTGCCCTACTGGTATATATTTGTGCTGCAGAGGGGAGCCTGCTGTTGCATTATCCTATACTGGGTAAGCCCTAATTGTTTGATTGGCTTTGATATACAGCCTAGAAACATAGAATGGGACTGCAGATAAGAACAATTTGGCCCATCTAGTCTGAATTTACACTATAAACTGTGCAATTTGGTCCTCTCGCTAATATAATGTGTCTGGTGGATGATTCTCGAGCTGAGTCATGGTCCCATGCCAACCACTGCCCTTAGTGCCTAATAGGTATTGCTGTGATCTGTCTGCCTACGTTTTATTGTCCTTGTGGTACTTTATACATTGGGTGAGCCCCAGTGGTCTGTGATTGAATAGTGAGTACTCCTAAAAACCTCTGGTCGATATCCAGGCCATGATCAATGCTGCATTAGTATAAAAGGCACTTTCCAAGTTTTCCAGGTGAGGTTTGGCTCCATTAAAGTTGCCTCTATCATCAAGCGTGCCACCTATAGGACTGAATCCAATGACTCTACCTCCTACTAGGGAGTGTTCACGTTCACTAAAGGCTACAGGAAGGGCAAAAGGGCTCAACATAAATCATCCAAGGGAAAAGCCCTCAAATGTGGCATGCTACATGTGATATCACCTGCTCCAGTCCCACCACATGGTCACTCCTCAGATGAAGGCAACGACCTAACCCAGTCACTCTCAATACCAGATGAGTGGCAAACAGATGCCTATGGTCAGGTAATCAAGTGAGGTCAGACTCCGCGTTTGTGAAAGAAACCTTCCTGGGTGAGCCCCAGATGCTGGAGCAAGTTGGATGGGGCAGAAGGCGCCTTCCCAGCCAGACATGGAGGTCATCCTAGCTGCTACTGGCCAATTCATGTTCAACCCATGCAACATATGCCACCCCTGCTCTGGGAATTGAACATCACCCAGCCGCCCTCTAGAAATGTGTCTGGTGGATGATACCTATTCTCGAGCTGAGTCATTTGATGTGGGCATGTTGTGTAAATTGGCGCCAGACATTAAAGAGTGGGCAAAAATGTGCTTCTGTTTCTTGGGAAACACAAATGTAGCACTTGCTTTGGAGAGACACAAAGCAGCACTCTTGCCATACCACGGAAAACTGGCAAACTTAGGGGCTAAAGAACTTGTCCCTCAGGCAGAGGGCAAGCTCTTCGGAGAAGCCTTTATGAAAAAACTGAACAAACATGTGAAAGTTTTCACGTCCCTGAACAAGGCGCAATCTTCCATGAAGAAAATCTACAGACATATATGAGTTTGAGGACGTCCCTGTCCAGTGGCAGCCAACCAAACCTATCCATTTTGCATCCGCCAACATACGTCTTATCGGTCAGGAGCTTTAGGAAATACGGCTAAAGGGTGCCATCCAACCTGCCTTGGGGACAGAGGCTTCTTCACCAATATGTTCTTAGTCAGAGACAAAAAGTGGTTATTTTCCACCAGCAATCAACCTGCGTGACCTCACCATTCAAACAGCCTGAAGCTGATGGTCACTCATCTTCAGGCCCATGGGGTCAGCGGCATAATTTATCAGTTTGAGATCAATTCAATGTTTTGTAGTCTGAGATTATCTACCTCAGAGGTCTTGTCTATACGCAAGGAGATTCACAGGGTTCTCCATATTGACTTCATCGTGTGGGTTGTTGATCTTCCATGGTCCACTACACTACCGAGCTATGCATGACTGAAAGCCAAGTTCCTAAGGAAAAATTCCACTTATGACCAACCGGTCCCAATGACAAAAGGTCTCTTCCAGTTGGAACTGTTTTCTTTTCGCAACAATCACCAAACTCCGGATATCTTCAGCTGGCTACCAGTTCCGAAACAGCGAAGTGGTAGATGCATTTCTTCTGACTTGACTGGTCCACAGAGCTTACACTTTCCCACCCTTCACAATAATTGAGAGGGTCCTTTATCATGTCCGGTCTCAACAAGTGATGATAACACTGGTTGCTTCCCTGTGGCAGAGCCATCCTTGGTTCCTATACCTTCTGGAATTGTCTGTTCCTCTTACCATGGTACCAGATGTTCCTCACTAACGAGAAGGGGAACCTTCACCCATTTCTCCTAGAAGATCTGCTTTCGCGGATCTTGGATCTGCAGATCGTGGATCTGCTTTCATCGTGGCTTGGACTCTTTCCAGGGTTTATGGCAGGTTAGTGCACTAAACATGCTGCTGAAGGCAGTGGCGTAACAATGTAACCTCTCTGCTTTTAATTCATGGAAGGATTGGTGTGTGGAACAGGGTCTTGATGCATTTACGGCCCCTGTTTCCTCAGTCCTGAACTTTCTCTCCTCGTTCAGTGTGCATTCCATTTGGTGGGCGACATATTATTTTTATGCTTTTTTCGGTAGGCACTTGGTCTTGGGAGGTTACAGTTCCGATTTTCTATTTCTGTCCCTCTTCTATGCCGCAAGTCCTCTTAGAAACATAGAAACATAGAATGTGACGGCAGATAAGAACCATTCGGCCCATCTAGTCTGCCTAATTTTCTAAAAACTTTCATTAGTCCCTAGCCTTATCTTATAGTTAGGATAGCCTTATGCCTATCCCATGCATGCTTAAACTCCTTTACTGTGTTAACCTCTACCACTTCAGCTGGAAGGCTATTCCATGCATCCACTACCCTCTCAGTAAAGTAATACTTCCTGATATTATTTTTAAACCTTTGTCCCTCTAATTTAAGACTATGTCCTCTTGTTGTGGTAGTTTTTCTTCTTTTTAAATATAGTCTCCTCCTTTACTGTGTTGATTCCCTTTATGTATTTAAATGTTTCTATCATATCCCCCCTGTCTCGTCTTTCCTCCAAGCTATACATGTTAAGATCCTTTAACCTTTCCTGGTAAGTTTTATCCCGTAATCCATTAACCAGTTTAGTAGCCCTTCTCTGAACCCTCTCTAAGGTATCAATATCCTTCTGAAGATACGGTCTCCAGTACTGTGTACAATACTCCAAGTGAGGTCTCACCAATGTTCTGTACCTCTCCCTATACAACCAAGCATTCTGCTAGCATTTCCTGCTGCTCTATTACATTGTCTGCCTACCTTTCAGTCATCAGAAATAATCACCCCTAAATCCCTTTCCTCATATGTTGAGGTTAGAACTCTTATCTCACAACGTTAAAAATGCAAAAAATGAAGAATCCTGTCATGTTGTAAAATTGAAGATTATGCTAGCTTTAGTGTACTAATAATCTTAAAGGCACGCAGACTACTTCAGTTCATTGAAAGAGTCTGGGTGCACTGTCCCAGCACCCTTAACCCTGCAAAGCTATTTATTGCAGTTTTTTAATAAACTGAAATAATTAGCTTTGTGGGGTAACTCAATCTCGAGTGGCTGTCTACCAGGCAGCCACTAGAGGTGCTTCTGGGCTGGTAGGGGACTTTAGAGGACATCCAGCACCACTGGAATCTCCAAAGGAAAGCATTATACAATGAGGAAATCCTAATGTGATCACAGACATTGCTGTGCATGCCATAAGGTCTTCCCTGCTGGCTGACATAAGCAGGGGATGAGCGGTGGTGGACCCAAACAAGCACCAAGGGACATCGGCACTGGAACCAGGTAAGGGACAGAAGTTTTTTTTAACCCTTTCTGCACTGTGGGGGGGGGGAGAGGGTGAGGGAAAAGTGGACAGAAATTTAAATTCTCATTTAACAGAGCACCATGAGCTCTAAATGTCAATAAACTAATTTGAGTCTGTTTTATGTCGGTCTGGTCTCTGTTGGCAGTGTGGTCAAGACACTGAGTCTCTCCTTCATTGTTATGGGTCTTGTCCTGTAACTGTTCCTTTGAGGAAAGAAGTGCATTCTGTATTCACCTTTTCTGGCTAGCTGCCATGTTTCTCTATTATACCAATCTTTCAGGATCTTTTTGTTTAACATGTCCTCATTGTAGCTAAGTCACTGATCCAGATTCCCTGGATATTCTCTGCTCCTCAAATGCTTGAGCAGTGTATTTTTATACCAATGCTATCCATATGGTGTCTCTGGTTTAAATACACTGTGTGGCCTGAGTCCTCTTTAGCAGAAGAGGTTTAACACTGTTTGCAGGATTTTCTATGGTAAAGGACATTATTATAATTGTCTGGCTATTTGCATATATTTCGTGTATCTATTTGTTTATTTTCTGTGAGGTTATGTTGCACATTGATTATTTATGCCGTTATTCAACTAGATTGTGGATCTAGTTTATATAAATACCTAAATATATGTTTGTACATTTATTTACTGACGTTTATGTGATATTCAATAAAATACACATTTTTATAAGAATTTGGAGTGCAGTTGGCATTTGTTTATAACACAGCTATTCACAACTTGGCTATTGGCCTTTATTTTGTAATTCAGATATATATATATATATATATATATATATATATATATCTATCCCGAAAATAAATAAAATCTTGATAGTAGAATTATGGACCCTATCAACTATTTACCCAAATATTTTATTTTGTTTTTATTTAAAGCAATGTCCTCCTGCACCTGTGTCCCTCGTCGATTCCCAGAGGAATAGCCCTGGTGTGTCAATGTCTTATTGAATAACAGTACATTGTCACCTGTCTTCCAGTCACCAGAGCCAGCCTCAGGATGAGAGTCTTACTGCTTCTTACAATCATTCCTGCTGCTTTGTCGTTTTCAGGTAGAGATTATATATAGCACTGGAGGTCTCTCACCTTTTATAATTAATTTAGTGTTATCTGTGTCTTCTAGTTTTACAAATGTAATGTCTAGTGAGAGAATTATTGTGTAGATAGGATACTGAGTTACAATTGCAGTATTTTTTTTTGCCGGATTTATCATTTGACGTACAGACTGACTAATACATACAGAGACAGACAGACAAAGACATACATACAGAGCTACTCACTAAAGT